CCTGGATAAGACTGCAGAAAACAAATCAAACATAACTTCACATGGAGTTAAAAGTTCTAAGAGCGTGGCTGTAAGTTTCCCAAATTCTGACTGATGCCTGCAGGACTTTCCACGACTGGTTGCCATCCCCTTCACCCCTTCCTTCCCCTTCCTTTACTCCCATCCCCTCCCTCCTTAACTTTGAAATGGCCATGGCTCTTCTGTGGCTCTCCCTGAGAGGGAGGAGGTATATGAACCTAATCTGGAGTCAACGGATGCTTCTGGAAGTTCCTGGTCTCAAGTCTTCATACCTGTACAGAGGTCAGGTAAAGCAGTTTAGAACTGACTATAGGTCAGGTACCCAAAGATATTTGCTTCAAGGAGCCAGTGACATAAGGACACTAGCGAGGTAGGAAATTAAGGACAAAACAGACAACTAGCTAGGTTGAATGTGTCAAAGTTCATAAAAACCCATGGCAAACAGGTTGACTGAAATCTTCCCCCCAACAAAAAGGATATGCACAAAACACAGGACCCAAAATGGCATCAAGCTTATGGCTGAGCACTGTGGACCAATGAGAGAAGTGCTGTTTTCAGTCCTTTGTTTGTATGAGGATACAACCAATAAAAAGACATTTCCAAGGGCCAGGGATTTAGCTCAGTGGCACCCTACCACCTACCTCTTAAGTGTAAAGTCCTGAGTATGATCCCCAGTACCAAAAAAAGACTCTGTTATTGATTTACATCTGGTGAAAAACTAAGCAAAATATTTGATAGGATAGTTTATAGTTGAAATGGTACCAAGTGAATTTTTGATAGGACTTATTTGCACAATAGGAATGCCAACCTGGAAATTTGAGATTGAAAACACTTCTACCTCCTTGCCCTCATGGCTCTCTGAGCCTTTTCACTAGCCTGCTCTTGCCCTATACAGCACACTTCTTTTCTACCTGCAACAAATGTACACCCTTACTGGTTTTTTCTGTGTGACTTGTCCAACTATCTTCTTGACATTGCTACTTAGATTTCCAATAGACATTTCACTCACAAACCTTATCTTTTCCTCATCCCCTTTGATTAATCTTTACCCCCGCTGTCCACATCTGAGGAAATGGAAACTCTTCTCTTCCAGTTGTTCTTAACCAAATAATGTGGATGTGTTCTTATTGCCTATCTTTTTCTCACACCCTACATCTAATCTATCAGGAAATTCTACTCATTCTGTCTCTTAAATATATTTAGACCTGAGCCATTTCCCTTCCCTTGTGACAGCTCCTTGGGGCAGGATATTGGCATTCCTTCCTGGATGATGAATGATAAAACCCCTCTATTTAGACTCCCTACTGCTGCCTTTCTCATCCCACAGCCCAATTCTTCTCTTTTAAAATGCAAACTACATGGTATCAAAGCTCTACTCATAACCCTGCAGTGGCTCCCTACTGCCCTCAGAAATAAAGCAAAATCCTCACAAGCTACATGCCTCTAGGACCTGGCCTCCAGGGCCACTCTGGTCTTCTTTTCAGTTACTCTTGCTATCCTTCTAAGTTGCACCCTGGCTTCTCTGCTGTTTCTTCTGCATGAGAGGCAGTCTCTTTAAGTTAACTATTATTTCTGCCTATAATGCTTTTTACCCAAATCATGAATTCCTTTTTCAGGTCCTTCACTATCTTGTCAATGAAGTTCACTCTGACAAACCTATGTGAACAGCAACCCAACCTCTTGATCTCCTGGCCTGCCAGTCCTCCATGTTCTGCTCTCATTTTCTCCTTTTTTCTATAACATTTATTCCTTCTAATTTACCATAGTATTTACTTTTTATTATATTTGCAGTTTTCCATCTGCCCTTCTTTCCCTTACCCCAGAATGTGAGCATCAAATGTTCACAAAACTTTGCTTTGTTAGTCTCTTTAGTCCCTAGAACAGTGTCTGTTGTCTAGAATGCACTTAGCAAATACATATCAAATGGCCAATTCTGTAGTTCAGTATATTTGCTTTTTCCTTGACTGAATGCTATGTTGAGTTCAGAAAGCAAAACTAGTAAGCAAAACAAGCTATGTGAAAATGCATACACAAAGAAAGAAAAAGAAGTAAAAATCACAGGGTATTTCAACATGACAGAAAAACTCTTTTAGAATCATCTCCTCCCAACTATTTCCCTATGTTCAACTCATCAAATCATTGCAGTTGCAGCTGCTCCTATTATCTCCTGTATTATAAAAAGAAAGCTTGTAGTAGCTCTTCCATTTTTTTACCCTATGTTCTCATTTGTCATTTTCCCCCCTTAAAAATAACTCTCAAATCAAGCTAGAATTTGAAAGCAAAAAAGTAAAGTAAGAAAGAGTAGGCTTCTTTGGGGAAGATTTAAAGTGGCAGATACTGGGCAGCTGTGAAATTTCAGTTAGTAAGGAGATGCGCTATAGTGTATTACTGTAAATTCTTAAAGATTATCTTGATGGGCCACTTTTATAAGAGGACTTATGTAAAATTCAAATTAAGGGCCATAGTGTCACAAGCTTTTCAATGGAAATGAGTAAAGTCAATAAAGTCATCATTACACTTACATCATATATACAGAAATACAACACTTCACAGCTTAAAATTTTGAACTGGAAACCTTTTACGTGAATAAGGAGATAAATCTCACATATTCATATTTAATGTGCAGAAGCTGTTGCCTGAAAATAATAGTTCAAGCAGAAAATGGTGTCCATAACTGGCTTAGTAAACATATAGAGTTGTGTTAGAGGAGACTTCCACAGCTAATCTACGTGGTCATCCTAAAGGACAGAAAGGGTACTCCTTGCTCTGTCTTGTTACAGAAAACCTGGATACATGGACATCATTGAGACTGACTCATTTGGAAAAAAAAAAAAGTTTATATATACATTTGAAAGCTGAGTTTTCTATCCTGCATGCGTCTCAAGTTGAATTTCTCATGGGGCCATGGGGCTGAGGGTGAGAAGTGTTGGAGTCTTCCTCACTTCATTTACCAAAATCTCATTTACTCCTTTTTGGGCTAATTTAACTCTCCCCATTAGAATAAAACATTAAAATATCACTTCTTTGGCAGCAAATAATTTAAATATAATGTCCAGTGGATGTCGTTTTTGAAGTAAACTGGATACACAAAATTTAGCCTGATTACAAAACTGAATGAAGTGACCTGAGTCTTACTGACAAGAATTATTGTCTCATTAAAGCTACTGACATGGAAAGAAGACTATTATGAAAACCCTTCAATATATTGTATAGCCATTGCAAAGAAAACAATTGTCCAATATAGATAACAAGTATTACACATTCAGACAAATATCTAATACCAGAAAAAAATTACCTCTAAAATATCCGTCTCTCAGCTTTTCTGATAATTGCTACCACTTGCTTCAGGCAGAAATAACAACTAATACATTATTAATGGCTCAAAAACTAGAAGTATATTTCTTTTAGAATTGTTCACAATTCTGTTTAAACAGAAACTGTTTAGGCTATTAGTACCAATATTCTTTTACATGTAATAGAAAATAAACAGTATGAGCTGGGCATGGTGGCACACACCTGTAATCCCAGCACTCGGGAGGCTGAGGCAAGAGGATTGCTGTGAGTTCAAGACCAGCCTGGGATACGTAGTGAGTTCCAGGTCAGTCTCAACTACATAGTGAGACCCAGCCTCAAAAAACCAAAAGAAAAAAGAAAATAAACAGTATGTTCTGTCTTTGTCTTATGAGAAACATACACAGACTTTTAAAAAGTGTATCTTTATGAAATGAAATAAACTGTATTTTGCCTTTCATGTGAACACCATTTCATTAAGATTATGTAGAAGCAGCCGGCAGTGGTGGCATGCCCCTGTAATCCCAGCTACATGGGAGGCTGAGGTGGGACGATCACTTGAGTCCAGGAGTTCTGGGCTGCAGTGTGCTATGCCGATGAGGTGTCCGCACTAAGTTCGGCATCAATATGGTGACCTCCCAGGAGTGGGGGACCACCAGGTTGCCTAAGGAGGGGTGAACCGGCCCAGGTTGAACACAGCAGTTCAAGATTATGTGGGAGCAAGCTTACTTCATAACAGAATATTTTATATATTTGTAAAATTTATTTTATGTCTTTAAATGACTCTCTTAGTATCTCCATTTGAGTTTGATAGTGACTTCAGGTCTGCACTTTGGGGACAGACTGAGTAAAAGGGATATCTTATTTCAAAATTAAAGATTTTAATGAACTTTATTCTTCCAAATATAAAATTAATGAAATTATTTTTCAAAGTAAGATAGTCCTTTCTCACAAGATTTCAAAATAGCCTAGAGAGTCATGTTAATTCACTAGGATAACTTGGTCTCTTAGTTAGACACAGTCTCTTTATAGACACGATATCCAATATTGAAAATTTTTAACATTATATCAAAAGACAATCATAATATTCTATATGAAAATTGTATCTTTCTACCTTATGAGAATTCAATTGACATTTTTATGAAAAGCTCTTTTGCAGATTGGCAAAAAGTAATAAAAATTAGATTTTGTAATATTTGTAAATGTGTATATTGCAAGGAGGATCAATTATTCTAAATGGTCTGCATCACTAAATCATCATTTGCAAACTAACATCTTTTAATGTTTCTTTTTCTTCAGATAGTATCTCTGGGAGCACAGTCTACTGACATCAAGTTATGACCCAGATAAGGAGAGAAGGAACACTTCCACCTGTGGGTACTGAAAGCACAACTACTGTCAGAGCCCCACTACCACTCAGCTGCAGTTTGCAAAGTTATTGCACAATTCTCCCATTCTCACTGGTTGATGAAGTGATACATCGCCACTCTGGAACATCATATATTCCTCTCTGTATAGAAATGTGGTTACAGCTAATTTCACAAATACACTGCAATTGGTAATTTCCAATGAGCTAGCTTTTGTGGTTGCTACTGCTGCTGTTTTTGTTGCTTGCTTTTGGGTGTTTTGTTTGACCCGACTTGAATTTGTAGAATCTGAACAACCTGGGGTAGGAAGAAGAGCCTGTTTACCTGTCGATGATGGCACACATGTCGATACTGATGTTGGCAAAACTTCCTGGTTTCCGCTGTGCCACTTCATATAAATTCACAAGCTGATCATCCACTTGGATGAGTTGCATGCATCCTTGGAACGAAGGCTGAAGAACAGAGTGACTTGAGTTATTCATCTGGTTCAGAAAACCTATGAAATAGAAGAGATAGGAATTATAAAACCACTGTCCAGTATGCTTTACTAAAATTTTCATGGATATTTAACCTGGTCTCAGACACCATAGCCAACGACTGTGTTTCTTTAATTCTTGCTGGTGCTGTACTTGTCTTAGAGGAGTTGAAGTCATTTGAGAAGGTGAAATTATTTTAGATGAAGTTAGGGTTGACTGCAAGGAATTACCAAGTGAATTTCTATCTCTGGGATCTAGTGTTATCCCCATTGTCTCTGTGACATCTTTTCAGCCTGTCAATCGCTATGTTCTTGTGTTGTTGGAGGCTCATCATCAGATATTTGTTATGGCTTACATCTAGATGTCCCCTCAAAGCCTCATATGGTTAGATGTAGGGGTTTTCAGAGGTGTCTGGATTTAGGCTGTGTGATTTTGGGATCAAGGATATGTGATCATTAAATCAGTCCACTGACTGGCTTGGCATAGCTCTGGGTGCGGATATTGGAAAGGCCAATCCAGGTGTGAGTAGTACACTGAAGAGGTAGGTAGCCTGGAGGGATATAAAGGGACAGAAAGAAGGCAGGCCTTTGATACTTTGCTGCTTTGGTTGCCTTCTGCCTGCCCTGCTTTGCTATGAACTGTTTTTCCTCTGCAATGCCCTGCTGCCACACCATTGTGCCTTTTAGCCAGTCAGTTACAGACTGAAACCTCTATGGAATGTGAGCCTAATTAAACCTTTCCTCCTTTAACTTTGGGTGCCAGGTATTTTTGTCTCAGCAACAAAAAAGTAACTAAGACAATATCTTAGCCTGATCCTGCCCTAGTGATGAAGACACAGAACTTTAGATTCTTCTCAACTACTTGACTTCCTTTCTTTTATACTTTCAATATTTACTTCCATTTTCTTAACAGACTTTTACTCACATGTGAAAAGCTGAACTTCCTCCCATGAGTAGAAAAGCAACCTTTTGACAGGTCAACATTGAACTCAATCCAAGAGATATTTGCATGACAAGTGATTTCTCAATTTATAAAAATCAAAGGAACATTATGAAGACATAAAATCAGCTATAACATTAAGTACTCTACTTTGAATATCCACATCCACCTTAGAGAAGCTATCTAACATGGTACAGTTGTGTAAATGATAACAGATGGAGTAAAATGTAAAAGACAGAAACAAGGAAAATAAAGCCCACAGTAAATACTACTACTGATTCTATTAGGAAATAGAATACACATATACCAAGTATGAAATCAGACAGTAAAAGTTTTATTGCTAAACAAGTTCAAAATAGTACCACCATATTACCATTATGTTTTTTCAATAGAAATTGTATATAATTCTTTTTATGCATAGATAATTTCTAGGCCATAACAGAATGACATTTCTAGATCCCAATAATCCCCAAAGCTTCTTGTTTTCATATTGTTCCCGACACAAATTTTGCCTACTGCACCATTTTAAACTGTACCAATTAGTCTGGTTAGAAATCTGCAATTATTTACAAATTAACTTCATCTAATATTTTATCTGTAGCAAAAGCCAATTTATGCAGAAGGGATTAGAACAAACATATAATGTCGTAGTTACTTTTTTTCTTGTTGCTGAGACAAAATACCTGACATCCACAGTTTAAGGAGATAAAGTTTATCGCATTTTGTAGGGGTTCCAGTCAATAATTGGCTGGCTCCATGGCAGGGTAGACTGAGATGCAGAAACAGTTCATGGCTCACGGAAGGTAGCAAAATCCTTAACAGTGTCTTCCGCCCCTTTTATCCAGGCTAGGTAGAGTGAGTAGCATTCACACCCTTAATCTTAGTCCCCTTAAACCAAGCCTTGCATCATGAATCAATTCTAGCATCACACACTCTAGATCCAGCCACCTCTGAAAAAGCCCCACCTATGACCGAATGAGGCTGTGGGGGGGCATCTGGACACAAGCCACAATATATGCCATTTAAAAGGATAAAAATAAATTTTCAATTAACATAGAAACTGGCTCTTAAGAGAGTTTTTAAAATGTCCTATTCTTTTTGATCAGTGTACATGTAGTTCAGTGTGATTAAAATTCTGTTTTCTCACTTCATTAATGGGTTATAATATTGAAAACTGTCATCTGAATCTCCTTTAAGGTTTAATCACAGAAATGTATTCTGTACTCTATCAGTGAAGTAAAAATAGGATTACATTTAAATTAACTTACTGACTTAAAATTAGAGGCTCTTTTTCAATATGAATGCATGATTTCTGTCTTTGTGTGTGTGTGTGTATGTGTGTGCATTTTTTCTAAACTACATTTTATTATTTGCATTGACTTAGCCCCTTAGGAAAATGCTGATCTTAGATAAGTGGTCTATTTAGAGTAGTTGTATGCACACATATGATTTTCAATTGTCTAATCAAGATAAAACTGAATGGGTCTTTATGTCTAAACTTAGCAGAGAGAAAATACCCAGCTGTAACTATTGACCACTCATAACAAGGCTGTCACTTGTTCTGCTTTTGTGAATACTTGGGAGTCTCTAAATATCCCCACTAACTCTGAAAGAGTAGATCTACTTGTGAGAATAAGAACTTCTCTAAGGCAACCCAGCTTCACAAACACTGATCAGAAGAAATTGAGTATAATTAACTTCACAAAACAAGACTTCATCAGCCACACATAACAATGTTATGTTTGGTCTTGATACTTTCAGTTTGAAGTTGTCAAGGCCTTTCACTTCCTGACACGAGACATATTCTAGGAAAAGATTATGATAGGACAAAATACAACATATCCACTAAAATTTAGGGGTTTTTGTTTCCTCTTTTTAGATAGATTGTCCTTAAAATTCCTATGAGGAATTCCTTTGATTCTTGCCTTCTGATGTTAGAATCCTTCTGTAGTTCCCTGACACCATGAACTAAGGCTGAGCCTAGAGAAGGATGGAAAGCTGACCAACTGGTGGTGGTGGCATGATTTCCAAGACTGATTTTTCAATGTGGTTTGTGTGATTTTTACTCTGGAAAGTCTCCACCATGCCATGATCTTCAGTAGACTAGTGCAGAAAAAGAAAAATTATCATGGTCTTAAATTAATTGCAAGAGAGGTGATTTATTACACAATAGATAATTAATAAATAGGTTGGTATTAGGCGATAAGTTTAACTGAAACCTAAAAATATGGCTGTAATATAGGGACTAGGATGTGAAAATAAGCTGTACTAAGGAGCTATATTAAGCTGTATTTAAGAAATTGTTGACCAGGAGCCTAGTCATTCTTCAGGAGGTGGTAATGGCTTAAGGGAAAATAAGAAAAATGTTATCAGAAATGGGAGAAAACTGGGTGCTTGCTATGTTGTGGGGAAAATTTAGCAACGTTGCTGTTCATGATAATATAGAAAGAAAAATGATATCCTTAGTAAACTGTATAATCTAGCTGACTCATTTGCTGGCAAATTACTGAAATGCTATCTTGTGTCTTCTTTCTGTTTAGGCTAAAAGAGAAAACAAAGAGAAAAAAGCTAAAGAAAATCTAATAAACAGAAAGAAGCTCTGACTTGATGGATTTTAGTGTAAAATGTTTTCTCAATGATAGTCCATCCAGATGGTAAAAAAATAATTAAGAAATCACTTCCAGGCAAAGATCAAATTCATGGAAAACATAATCTAATAATTAAAAGAACAGATGACTAGAAAAATTTATGTTAAGATTTCAGACAGATATTAAATTACATTTCAGGAAATAATTCAGTGAGACAAAATATGTTCTAAAAACTTACCTGTGTGCCTCACAGAGCCTATCATTAAACAATAAAAGTTGTAATACTCTTTAAGGTGTTTTCCTTCTGTAGATCAGAAATTCAAGAGGGCAGGGAGCTTATCTTTATGCAATTATAAATGTTCTTTTTTATTAAATTTAATAAAGTTGCATAACATTCATAGGAATCCCATCTATTTTTCAGGTAACTGAGTTGATGACACAATCAACTTGTATGGAAAAGGACATAAAGGATACAAAATAGGCATTTGAACCCCCAACCTCCTATGGGCATGAATCCAGCTAACTGTAAACACAGATTACCTTTTATATAAAAAAGGAAAGAGACCCAGAGTAGCAGAACTAAGTATCTAAAGTGCAGCGCTAAGCATCATGGAGAATATTATTATTATTATTATTATTAGTAGTAGTAGTAGTAGTAGTAATAGTAGTAGTAGTAGTAGTAGTACCAGGGGATTAAACTATCTTGTGCTTGTGAGGCAGGTGGCAACACCACTGAGCTAAATCTCCTGAAGAATCATTTCTTAGAAATATTAAGAGTGAGTCCTAATGCAGAAACTGCCAGAGTGCCCGAATGAATTTCAGAACTAACTTGGACCAGTGGCTTCTTCAAGCCTCTTATTTTCTTCCTTTTGGCCAGTCGAAACTAGTGCCTCCACACAAATCATACCGCTGTGCACTGGTTGTGTAGGTAGCATGAAACTTCATCACAGGCCCCCTGACTGAGAGGAACTGTACTTGAGCAATAACCCACATGGCTTCCTATCCTCCTGGGACTTCCTAGGAGCTTCATCAGGGCTAACTTGATTTGAAGATGAGGCCCTGGGCTACAAGCAATTGTTCTAATGGAATGTAATTTTGCAATCCTTTTAGAACAGAAGCATGTACTTCATACATATAGAAGAGATGTGAATCTTTGTGTATTACAAGGTGAAATCAGCACCAACCTCCAAGATGGTCACAAATCTTCACACTATTATCTGTACTTTAAGTACATACTAGCATCAATGACCTTATGTAGTTCTTGCCCACATGGAATAGGTGCTGACATGTATGATGGATAAATTATTACAGAAGTCACAGGGGTAGGTGGTTTTTGTTTTGTTTTGTTTTTGGTACCAGAGATCGAACTCAGGTCCTTGTGCTTGTGAGGCAGGCTGCAGAACCACTGAGCTAAATCCCTGGACCTACATGGGTACATGGGTTACTGTTATAGGGTTCATTATGCTGACAGGGTGACACCTTGTCTCTTGTAT